TTTAATTTTACACATTGTAAGTGCAATATTTGTAGCAACAAAGTGATATATCTTGGGTACTACACCATTGGAACGGCTCTTGTTCTCTCTTTTCATGATGTGGTGGAGCATGGAGTGACAATGGAGTGGATATTTTGTGTAACCCTGGCATTTGATTGTTGAATGAGCCAAGTTTGGGAACTCCCAGTACTTACCAATTTAAGTCCTCTTCTGTATTCTACATACCAAAGGCAGAGGACATTAAAACACTGGTGAGTGCACACCTGAGTGGGGGTGCACTGTGACCACTGTGTGTTTTTTAACACTATGATTTTCATCACTGGACATTTTTTTTTCTCACTGGATTTTCTTTTCTCACTATATTGTGTTGATTTGAACACTTGATCTTTTATCACTGCAATTTTATTTTCATCTTTATTTGTCACTGGAAGATATTTTGAGTATATATGATAACATGTTTGGGATAGCATGTGTATATTTACATTTTTATTTTTTATGATAAGTGTGGCACTGTGAAGTATGTGCGCCACTTTTTCACAAATTCACTGTGGGTTTATTTATGTTTACTTGTATGGCTAGCTTTAGTTTCACCAATATTTATAGAAACATTTCAGAGATTGTAAGAGAGATGCTCTGGACATGCTGAGAATATGAGGAAGAGTGGCTGCACTCAAACATTGTGCACATCTACTTAGAACCTTATATAGTAAAGTTCCTTCATGGTAAAGTCTTCTGAATTGATAACACTTATGTGATCTGTCCTTGTTAGATAAAACAGTGGAGTTAATTTTATAACTTGGGTGATGCTGAGCCCCTTGATACCCAGAGGTCAGTTTCTGTACCGCTTGGTGCACAGTGCTGACTGGGCAGAATGTTAACTGACAACCATGTTTTCCTTGAGGATTTCAGTGATGGCAGGAATTTTCTTCAATGACCTCAGCAACACACAGTATGTCCCCTGCAGTGCACTTAAACTCTGGCCGATTTCCTTTTTCCTCCCTAGGGTTTTACACAGTCCACATTGATTATGCTAACGCCTGTTGCTTCGGATTGAGAAAACAAGGTAGTGTAATGGCGATCTGAATCCTGGAAGCGCAGTGGGCTGTAGAGGAAGACACAAAGGGGCTTCTGGCTGTCTTGGCGTTTAGAAGATATAACCATCAGAGAGTTGGCCATGTGAAATGCTCTGCTTACATGCTACTAAAATATTCTGCGCAAGCTGATTATTATAAGCAATAGAACAGTTCTGAGCACTGCACTTAGGGACCACAATAAGTTGCACAATTTTGTTGTTTTGTAGGTTCCCTTTGCAACATTCCTTCTTCATTCAGGGCAAAGTGACTGTGTTTTTGTAAATCCAGTTGCCCAGAAGCCACAGGCAAAAGTAGAATACCATTCAATGTGTACAGCAATCCTAATCTATATCAACCAATCAGAAATCTGCTTACTTTAGTGTGACCAGACTGTTAGACTCTTGTATTCTTTGCAGAATGTTACATAATTACAGAATTACAGTTGATGTCACCCCTTCCTGCCCTGCTGAAGATGTCTGGCATGGCAAAAAATTCCTGGTAGAAGAGAAGTTATTTCTGGACTCCAGCAGGCACACGTTCATCTGCTCTTTCCAGGGTAATTTTATCACAAGTGTAAAATGGCTAGGAGTATAATGAAGTTTGCAGAATTATTGTGGAGGGGTGTATGTTTCCAGTTTGTGTACACTGAGATGTGAGAGCTTAAGAAAGATTATTTTATGGTTCAGTTGGAAATGCTGGCGAACTAATTTAATAATTATAACACAGAGGTTTAGTGGTTAGCATTTCTGCCTTGCTGCACTCGTGTTACCAGTTTGAATTTAAATCATGACACTATCTCCATGGAGTTTGCTGTTCTCCCTGTGTTTGCATGCGTTTCCTCCAAGTACTTTAGTTTCCTCCCACACCCCAAAGACCTACTGGTAGGTTAAATGGCTCCTGTTTAAATTGGCCCTAGTATGTGTATGTATGCATGTGATGTAGGGACCTTAGATTGTAAGCTCCTGGAGGGCAAAGACTGATGTGAATGTACAGTATATGCAAAGCACTGTGTAAATTGTCGGTGCTATGTAAACATAGGTAATAAAAAAATTAAATACTCTGTGCTGATAGAGGAGCCTTCTCCTTCCACTTTCCTTAATTACTTGGTGCTACTGGAGAACTTTGCTGTTTCTGATATCTAACTCTCCTCGCCTGAAATACTCTGCAATGCTGGAGGGATCTTCTCTGTCTGCTATCTAACTCTCCTTACCGAATACTCTGCTACTGGAGACATCTACTTATAAACTCTTCTCCCCTAAATATTCTGTGCTGCTGGAGGATTTTGCACTTTCTACTACCTCTCCTCCCCTAAATTACTCTGCCCTGCTAGAGGGCTCTTCTCTAGCAAGCTATATAACTCCCCTCTTCTGAAATAATCTGTACTGCTCTAGGATTTTATTATTTACGCTATCTAATTCTCCTCTCCTAAAATACTCAATGTTGCTTGAGGACTTTGCTTGTTTCTTTTATCTACAGCATAATTCTAACCAGTATCTAACTGCTGAATTGGCCAAAATTCAGGGCAGAGGGAGGCTCTGTCTAAATATTCAGCTGAATAAAAGTTGATTTTTCTGAGCCTGATGGAAGAGGAGCACTGCTGGAGCACTCTCTTCCTTTTGTCATCTAATGGTCTTATCCTGAAATATTCTATACTGCTGGAGGACTCTGGTGCTGCCAATTGAATCTCCTGTCCTGAAATAATCTTATACTGGCAGAGAACTTTTTCCTTCTGCTGTGCTCTCCTGAAATACTTTGTGCTGCTGATGGATTCTTCTCCTTCCATTATGGAGAAAGAGAAGCAATTTTCATTTTTCCCTGACATTTGTTCACATCCTGTGCCAGTTATGTTGAGTGTTTATTGGAAAGCAGTGTAAAAATGACAGACTTTGGGAATCTTTACTTTCCATGCCGTGGTCAACTTCCTACTGTCTGTAATATTCCACACTAACTGCAGTTCTCCTTTAATTCCCTCTCCAAGAGCCAATATGTCTGCCAACACATTTGGATGGTGTTCAGAAGCTGGCAGCTCCCTCAGACATTAATTATGTGTCCCAATTAATTGCAATTTCCATCCAGCTCTTTGCAAGCCACGTCTGTCTTGTTGGTAACCTCAGACATGCGCCATACCCCAGCCTTTTTTGCAGTGAAAATGGAAAATTAGAAATATGCAGAGGAGTCCTGCTTGAATAACCCTTTACATAAACTTGTTAGTAGAATTTCACTCTGCCAGACAATGTTACCAATGCTTAATCATTTCGAAGCTTCTGGATTTGACTTTGCATATTCTGTAACTTCCATACCTGTCTAAGTAAGGCTATCATGGCACTGTCAGCAGGAGATGCCATAGTATGCCGTGTTCACCCAAAAGTGATTTTTGTATAGTTTTTAATGTGGGCTGTTTGGCTGTGTCATGTGCTAGCTTTACTTTTTTAAGAACCTCTGTGACACTGTACCACTATGTAAGAATAATATATATGTAATATATATTTTGGAAATCAATAGATCGGTACACAGTTTGTGGTGTTTGGATGGTGGAGCAATAAACCACCTGACATTTCTTGGGGACCCTATCAGTGCAATCTCTGTGTTTAGTTTCTGTGTCTGGTCACCTGTTTTGGCTAATATATATATATATATAGAGAGAGAGAGAGAGAGCAGGAACACACATAGGTGGACAGGGACCCTACTAAAACATGCAGGTAGAGAGAAATGAAATAAGGACAGGAAAAGTTTTCCTGAAATATACAGTGCCTTGAAAAAGTATTTATACCCCTTGAAATTTTCAACATTTTGTCATATTACAACTAAAAACGTAACTGTATTTTATTGGAATTGTAATGTGATAGACCAACGCAAAGTGGCACATAATTGTAAAGTGGAAGGAAAATGATAAATGATTTTCTACATTTTTTACAAATAAATATCTGAAAAGTGTAGCGCACATTTGTATTCAGCCCCCTTTTTTCTGATACCATTGACTAAAATCTAGTGGAACCAATTGCCTTCAGAAATTACCTAATTAGTAAATAGAGTCCACCTGTGTGTAATTTATTCTCAGTATAAATACAGCTGTTCTGTGAAGCCCTAAGAGGTTTGTTAGGGAACATTAGTGAACAAACAGCATCATGAAAGCCAAGGAACACACCAAACAGGTCAGGGATAAAATTGTGGAAAATTTTACAGAACAATGAAGTCTTGCTCATACAGCGTTGCAATGACCGCACAATTACCAGTTAAATAGTACAGTGCCGAATAGCCTGGTCAGGAAGGGGGGAAAACCTTCCAGGGCTGAATTGAGTAACTAAACATCACTTTTGCATGGACTGAATCTTAATCTTAAGGCTAATTAAACCCATCCTTATTTATTACTGTAACGCACACAGGTTGCAGTGATATTTCTGGGTATCTTTTACTTTTCTTACACTCTTGCTGCAGCAAAGGTTAAAAATTTTTAGGGGAGTTGGCTGTCCCAGAAAACAGTGGCCTGGCTCTCTAGCGATCTGACAAACCCCCTGAACACTGCCCTAAACCACAAACCTCTTGCTTTGTGTTAATTGGAGCAGTATTTTGAGGGGCACTCAGGACAGATAGAGAGCATGGCTGCTGCTGTGTGTGAGAGAGATGACTCTGAAATGTCTTGGCAGAACACTGTATATTTTAACCCTTGCTGCAGCAAATGTCCTGGCAACCTGACTGCATTACAGTAATAAATAAGGGGGTTTCAGTTGGACTTTGGCTATATTTGGATTACATACTATGTGGCACAACTAGAATATTTTACGTTTTTTAAAGCGGATTGGTAAGCTTTTATTTTAAATTATTGTAAACATATTACATTATAATATAATAATAATAATAATATATTACAAATGCAAAGTTAATTTGTAAAAGGCTTGTTTTGTCATAATTGCAGTATAGTTTACTTACCAGATGGCTTGTCTGTAGATGTTGGGATGCTGGTGACAGAGGGCATGGTTGGCAGAGGAGGTGGGAGGACCTTCAGGTTCTGGTCTCCTTGAATCTCATTGGTGGAAATTTGATTGATGCGGTTGTAATTGGGTGTTTGATACATCCGGTTGGGCTGTTGTGGAGGTTGTGGAATCGGCCTCGACTGAGGTACCTTCTGGCACTGTTCTTCCAGCTGTGCAATCACAATGGACTGGTTGCTTGCCAGTGAGGCCAAGTGCTGATATTTGTGTTCCAGGTCTTTGTACTTGTTTGTCAACTGTAACATCTCTGCCGTTTGGTTCAAAACTTTGTTCTCCAGCTGCGAGAGCTCCAGCGCATTGTCCCTTTTCCTGATAATTTCATGCAATAGTTGCATGTACAGCTGGGTGACCCTAGAGTTCATGTTCCGGCTCTCTTTACGCAATAGCTTGACCTCATTAACAATACCGCCGTCCACCTCCACAAGCTGCTGCAGTGTTTTCAATTTGCCTTTTCTGTTTCAAAAGTTCTGTATTGAGGAGTTCTATCTCCTGCTTGTGGATCCGACTTTCGTACACGGTCTCCTGTTCTTTGGAATTCACACAAATGGCCCCGGTGACTTTCTGTTGAGGCACAATGAACGTATAGCTGCATTTGTCGGATGATTCTGCCGCTCGCCGCTCCCTGTTCACATAAATAAATTCTTGTTCTGAACCATCACTGTTCTGGAATTCTTGCGCACTGCCTCCATATGTGCTTTCAGTGAGCACAAGTATTAACAAAATGGTACCACCCAGGAATTGCATGGTCCACGTAATATAGACAGGACTTATAAATTACTTTTTGCTCTCTTCTCTGGATGTCTAGAAATAATAATAATTAAAACAATCAATATAATGATGTAGTGCTACACTGTCATGGCAAGAAGTGAGCAAGAAACATAACACCATAACATCTTAGCAACTTCAACTGTTGAATATACCTTTATCTGTAGAATGCACTGCGTCTCTTGTGGCCCTGTGGTCCGTTTAAAGTTTTCTTTTATCCATTAACAAACCTATTTATTCAGAAATTTTATTTAAACAGTAATAACAGAATAATGGATACCAGCAGAGTTGGTGCACCCAACAAAACTTCAAAATTCTTTAACTAACCTGAAAAAAAGTGCCATCGTAAATACACAGTTCAGCCATCATTCCTTACCACAGAGGTAACAAAGTAGACACAAAATTGGGATGGCTAGCTAATCATCATCTTACTAGACAAAAGCTATGAAAGCAATTTGTCAGCTGCAACACCAAAAATTGATGTGTGTGGACCCCATCGCAATGACAATGATTGATAGTAAACTGGCAGATAAAACGTCTTTAATTTTTACAGCCCAACTTTAACCAGAACTTTTAGTTTTAGAGCAAGGAATGTTTTTATGTCTTTTTATGTCTCCAAGATTTCTCTCCTTTTCCTGTTATGGCTGACACCTGTCACCTGGACAAAAAAGTACACATCACCCCATAGCTAAGGCTCCCCTGTACCAGTGAGCAGCAGCTGCATGGGAGAGAAGGGAGCACTAATGACAGCTGGGGCATGAGTGACATCACAGCTCCCGGATTCCCAAATGCTACCTCCTTTCCCCTGCAGCTGCTGCTCACTGGCACAAAGGATTACGTGACCAGACTAAAAATAAGTGAGTATACACTTATGTGTTTTCTTGATTCACTGTTTTCTGTATGGATGAATGACATTTGACCTGGAGAAAACTAGCCTAATTACATTTGATTTTTCCTCCATTTGCACAGCATGAATGTGCATGCAGTTTCACAGGATGACTAGCTCTGCAATTTTTTTTTTATACTGCCCTTTATGTTCTATCCCAGGGGTGGGCAAACTTTTTGACTTGAGGGCCGCAATGGGTTCATATATTGGACCCGGGGGCCGGACCAAGAGTAGATGAATGATGTGTATGTGTCATCCATAGTAAGTATAGTAATATTCCCCCATATAGTAATTCACCCCCCATAGTAATTCATCCCCCATAGTAATTCATCCCCCCTATAGTAATTCATCCCCCATATAGTAATTCATCCCCCATAGTAATTCATCCCCCATATAGTAATTCATCCCCCATAGTAATTCATCCCCCATATAGTAATTCATCCCCCATAGTAATTCATCCCTCATATAGTAATTCATCCCCCATAGTAATTCATCCCCCATAGTAATTCATTCCCCATAGTAATTCATCCCCCATATAGTAATTCATCCCCCATAGTAATTAATCCCTCATATAGTAATTCATCCCCCATAGTAATTCATCCCCCATATAGTAATTCATCCCCATAGTAATTCATCCCCCATTGTAATTCATCCCCCTTAGTAATTCATCCCCCATATAGTAATTCATCCCCCCCATATAGTAATTCATCCCCCATAGTAATTCATCCCCCATATAGTAATTCATCCCCCATATAGTAATTCATCCCCCATATAGTAATTCATCCCCCATATAGTAATTCATCCCCCCTATAGTAATTCATCCCCCATATAGTAATTCATCCCCCATATTAATTCATCCCCCATATTAAGTCCCCAAGTCCCCCCTGTGTCAATTCACTTACCTTTGCTCCGCGCGTTCCTCTCGCCGTGTTCCCGCGCGGTTCCGGTGTAGCATGAAAATCTGTCTCCTATGATGATCTGTCCCCCACAACGTATCTGCGCATGTGCCAGTTTCAGGCATTAGCAGCTGATCGGCGATCTCCGGCACATGCGCAGATACGTCGGGGGACAGATCCTCATAGGAGACAGATTTTCATGCTACACCGGTCTTCAGGGCGGACTGTGAGAGGAGCCTAGTGGGAGCCTAGCTCCGCGGGCCGGATTAAAAGGTCCGCTGGGCCGTAGTTTGCCCATTGTTGTTCTATCCTATACCTGCTATACCTGCCAAATAGGAGAATTAGAGGAATCTTCTATCTCTCCTATCAGTTCATCCCTCACAGTTATTACCTTTTGTGCCATCAGCACTTCCCTATTAGATTGTAAGCTCACAGGACCAGGCCCTCCTAACCCTCTTGTATTGAACTGCATCATTACTGTATTGTCTCCCTTTATATTGTAAAGCGTTGAGCAAACTGTTGGTGCTATATAAATCCTGTATTATAATAATAGAGGTATTTCATGGCAATGAAAGTTGCCATCCATGTTCTAACTCTTCTAACTCCTCCTGTTCTAGATTTAGGCTTTAACTATCACAGTTCCACTCCACCTAACCGTTATCTAGTTTCCTACATACCACTCTCTTCTGTATCATTACACTAGCTATGTGGTTCCCTTTTTGTAAAAACAAACAGTCTCTTTTTAATAATTATATTCATCAAAGAAATTTGTGATACTCAAAACCCTCAAAAGTTAGTTTAGGCCCTTTTTGACCCTTTCTCTAAAGTTGTAAACCATGTGCCCCCACCCTTCTCAAATTCACCAACTGCTGGTTTATGAAGATGAACACTATATCTGCAAGGTTAAAGTGCAGGCCTAGGTCACTTTCCATTTTAGTAAAAACATCCTTGGTATACATGCACTTTTAAAAGCACATGTTCCTCATTCCTTCTGTTTAATAATATCCACCAATAAAATTTAGTTGATTATCTTTACTTCAGCGTGTGACACAAATTTGTCTCTTTAAGTCTTGTTCTGTTGTAAGTTATAATATATATAATTACTGTATATGTGATATATATAAATATAAAAAATCAAGTGCAATAATATCAGTGATTAAAATTTCATATACAATTAGGTCCATATATATTTGGACACAGGCACATACTTTTGGCTCTGTATGCCACCAGAATAAATAATATAGAAACAATCCAAATTAATTTGAAGTGCAGACTTTCAGCTTTAATTCAAGGGGTTGAACATAAATATCAAGTACAAATTTTAGGAACTGCAACCATTGTTATGCACAGTCCCTCCATTTTCAGGGGCTCAAATGTAATTGGAAAAAATGAACATAATCGTAAATAAAATGTTCATTTTTAATATTTTGTTGAAAATCCTTTACTGGCAATGACTACCTGAAGTCTGGAACCCACGGACATTACCAAAGACTGGGTTTCCTCCTTTCTGATGCTTTGCCAGGCTCTAACTGCAGCTGTCTTCAGTTGTTCTTTGTGGGTCTTTCTGTCTTTAGTTTTGCCTTCAGCAAGTGAAATGCATGCTCAATTGGGTTGAGATTGGGTGACTGACTTGGCCATTGCAGAATATTCCACTTCTTTTCCTTCAAAAGCTCCTGGGTTGCTTTTGCAGTGTGTTTTGGATCATTGTCCATCTGTACTGTGAAGTGCCGTCCAATCAACTTTGCTTCATTTGGCTGAATCTGGGCTGACAGTATATCTCTAAACACTGCAGAATTAACCTGCTTCTGTCTTCTGTCACATCATCAATAAACACCAATGACCCAGCACTGCTGGAAGCCATGCATGTCCATGCCATCACACTGCCTCCACCATGTTTTACAGATGACGTTGTGTGTTTTGGATCATGAGCTGTTCCAAGCCTTCTCCACACTTTTTTTTTCTTCAGTCATTTTGGTACAGATGAATCTTAGTTTCATCCGTCCAAAGAATGCTTTTCCAGAACTGGTCTGACTTTTTTAGATGTTGTTTGGCAAAGTCTAATCTGGCTTTTCTATTCTGCAAGCTAATGAATGGTTTGCACCTTGTGGTGAACCCTCTGTATTTGCTCTCGTGAAGTCTTCTCTTGATTGTACACTTTGACAATGATACTTCCACTTCCACTTCCTGAGAGTGTTCTTCACTTTTCTGGATGTTGTGAATGGGTTTTTCTTTACCATAGAGAGGATCCTGCGATCATCCACCCCTGTTGTCTTCTGTAAACGTCCATGCCTTTTTATGTTGCTGAGCTCACCAGTGCGTTCTTCTTTTTTCAGAATGTACCAAACTGTTGATTTGGCCACTCCTAATGTTGCTGCTATCTCTCTGATGAATTTGTTTCCTTTTTGAAGCCTTACAATGGCCTGTTTCACTTGCATGGACTACTCCTTTAAAAGCATGATGAGGTTTCACAGCAATAGATTCCAAATGCAAATACCACACTTAGAATCAACTCCAGGGGGTTGGCTACTCTTAAGAGCTGTAATTCCTAAACCCTTCCTCCAATTTGGATGTACATACCCTCAAATTAAACCTGAGAGTTTGCACTTTCAGTTCATATCCATTATATAACTATAGCTTGAATATGTTGTGGTAAATACCTGAAACAAACTAAAATTGTGCCTGTGTCCAAATATATATGGCCCTAACTGTGTGTGTGTGTGTGTGTGTGTGTGTGTGTATGTATGTGTATATATATATATAATATATATATATATATATATATTCAGAGTGTCCTGTGCTTTCAATCAGGTGCAAAAATCTTCACTTGCAGAGAGTGATATTGAAATGCACACACCTCAGTGATTTCTCCGCCTTCCACTCTAAGCACTCACCAGAGGGTTTGACCAAAAAAGTTGTTTTGCTCAAATAAAACAAGACACTGGCTCAGATTTCCTTATCAAATTCCAGACTGCCATTATATATCTGCAAATGTCAGTGGAAACTAAGAAATTTTATTAAAATTATAAACCTTGGTAAATTCACTTACATGGACCAGGTGTCACTCAATGCTAAAGGATTAATTGCCTATCACTTTAGAGCAGTGCCAGCTGCACACCCCGGCTGCAAGTGAGCACCGCTGTACAGGATGACGACACCTCCAAACAAGCCCCTCTCTACGCATTTCAGCAAAATTACGT